CCCGGAAATCATCCCTTATGAAAGTGAAAATAGGGATGAAAGTTTGTATTGGGAAGCAAGCCAGGGACGAATCCGAGCGAAGCGAGAGTGAGTCGCTAGTAGTATTATAAATAGGTACCAATATAGATAAGTATAAGATAAATTCATGGTTTATTACACAATCATTAAGCATGTAGTTAAACGTAAACTTCAAACACTTTCTCAAGTCGTAAACGCTGAAATGACCTAATCGATACATTGTTTTCAGACGCATGATTTGTACAATAAATATGAGACTTACGGAATATTTCTCATATAACCAATAAGTATTTCAAGTTATATTATAATTGGCAACATAAATGTGATGAAAAAGATCAAAAGGGGTCAATTAATATGTCTTTTGAAGGTAATATGTGCAACACGACGTATCAATTACTCCTCTGGGATAAATGGACAAATTAATTAAATGGTATTATATGTACATATATGTGGTTGACACTTGATAACCAATTATAGTGTCATATTATGATGTATTAGCTATATATATCTTTAGAATATAATATACTAGCGACTCGCCCTTGCTCTGCTCGGGTTCGTCCCTAGGTACATTTTAACGGTTAGTATAGAATAGATAGACTATATTTGATTATATGAATTATGATATATATATATATATATATATATATATATATATATATATATATATAGTCTATATATAGCCTTTCCTCAATAAACGGGTTATTTAATGCAAAAAGAATTTTTCAAATCGGATGAGTAGCTTCTGAGATTAGCTTAATCAAACAAACACACAAACAAACAAACTAACAAACAAACAAATAAACACACAAACTCTGCCTCTTTATAATATTACTATACATTAGTTAAATAATGTAGAAAATACGGTTTCTGTACTGATTAAATGAAAACAATTCAAATTTCTTTGATATTTTAGCAATAAAGTGATCCAACATGTCTTATTTTTATGCTAATTATTATAAAGTATTAAAGATATTTATGTTTTATAATTCATAAATATGCTTATTATCCAAATATTTATTTTTAAATCACAATATCTTAAGATTACAATCTAGGTTAAGCTTTTGACATTACTTTTTACGAGCTTTCATTGCAATTTATTAGCTTTCTTTTACAAATTAACGAATGCACGTAGTATATTGTAAAACACACGTACAAACGTACATATTTAATTCAATTATTTAGATCAAATGTGACTGATAAATAAAATATGATTCAAATTAGCTGAAAGTAGGATATTCCTTTCACTTCAATCCAATTATATTATATTAAATAATATTTTTTCCTTTGGCTTTGCTCACGTAAGAAGTCGAAAAATAAAACTTATGTATCTCTGTTCCGAAATAAACTCACTTGAATCTACTGAGCCATTAGAGTTGTTAAAAAGTAAAAAATACACACTCATTCGCGCACAAACTTTCACATTTATAATATTAGTGTGATCAATAAAAAAGGTATGTCTGACAATAAATTACTAAACACTATATAAGTTCTGCTTGTTAGCGAATAACAAACACAATCAACGAACTGAGAAAGACAAGCAACATGAACATTTACACGCGTAAAATCAAAGGGTATTTATACATAGTAAGATTGAATTTTCTATGTGAACGTTTTAATGTAAGAAATTATGTAGGTATATTTATCTAAATTATAATGATTTATAAAGCATTTATTTATGCGACTTTGGCCGATAGAAATGCATTTTGAAAAGTAAAATACACATACATAATAGATTACAAACACTTTTACATATTATTTGAGAACATAACCAATGAGATTTTATTGAGAAATACGTTTATTTGAAAGAGTTTCTACAAGGCAATGGAAACCACGATTGTACAAGCCTTTCCGGTCATCCGCTTCCGTACATTGTGAAAGTTGCACATAGCACGCATACGAAAAACTCATTAAATGTGACCTATGCACGCATTTATTAATAAAAACCTATATGATTATTAGCTATTTATAGCAATTTGTAAACATAAATATTTAATTTTAAATGATTTTGAACAAAATTACATAGTAATAGCTTAATAATATGTAATTTTATAATATTACTTGTAGTGGCTAGAATTTATTATAATAGCGCTTATTTAAAAAGACAATAGTGTCCGGCCAGCAGTCAAAATTCGACCATTTAATTTGCAATCCATATTGAATCTTACTATATGTGTAAAAAACTATCTCCAAATATCTTTATTGATAACACTAAAAAGCTCACAAGTCACTAGTCACTAAACAAAAAAAAAAGAAAAACAGTTGACAAACAGAAGACAAAAAGGTTCTGAAGTGTTTCGTTTTTGCCTATTTTTATATAGACTAGCATTGCTCGCGGCTCCGCCCGCGTTCAGATGACCAAAACCAAATTCTTAGATTTTACATATTAGTATACTCTTACATTGCAGTTTTTGTATTTTTTCTCAGAAATGAGACATTTCCCCGCGGTAAAAAAAATCCTATATGTTGACCCGAATAACCAGATATCACCATGCCAAATGTAATCAAAATCCCTCCAGTGGTTTTTCTGTGATGTGGTAACAAACAGACAGACAGACAAAAATTCCAAAAACTATAGAGTCGGCCTCTGTATCGATAATAATGTTTATTTCAATAATATTTTCCAAACAATATTTAATGTACAGATTCGGCTTAATTACAATTTTATTATATGTATAGATTACTTAAGTATATTTTCCAATAAGAATGTGATTATTCAGCCCATAAACAATATTATTGGGCATCAAATACCTAACATTTATCCGCTGCTCTGTTGACGCCAAAGTTGATATTTCGCAGATTTAGTTCCGTGATGCAAAAGTATCAAACGCGATTTGGCATATACATAGGTCAGTCAAAGTTAAGTCGAGGTTAAAAATGAAATAAATACGCGATAAATTACTTTAAAAGGCATTCTGCCAAGCAAATAATTTTACTTTTTATATAAAAATAGCAAGACTATAGTAAAAAATATACTGTCAAAAGCATTTTATATAGACCATTATCTTTCCAAGTTCTCATTATTATTCAAATCACTTGAATTCTTTAAACTCACTTAATTGTATTCAAAGAAACTTCTGATCGACAATAACTATTTTCAAAGATTTTCCCGCGTTGCAAAGATTATATAAATGACCTCAGACGTGCACTTTTTATGGACTCTATTTACGACGTTTTTTTTTAATTACTGTTTTGCACACTTTTAAAACAGGTTAAGGTAATTCAGTTTAATCCTAAAGAAAAATAGAATACTGTAAAATATAAGGATTGAAAAAAGTTTTTATCGTATATAATATAATATACCATATATAAGCAGCACATATTACCGCAACTCTCACCACAATTTTTATCATTAATGCAATAAATAGAAACACGATATATGTATGTATTTTTACTCTACTTCATTTAAGCCAATGAATTATTCGAAGTTAATTTAATATATACATTAAATACAAATACGATAATCATGCAAAGCTAGAGCTGTTATGTAAAATCTATTAGAAACAATGACCATTGACAATAATTTGAAGAAAATCGGCTTTGTTTAAGGCATTCCAGTTCGAAAACGTGATATGTAAATAATACATTAATTTTATGCTAGATCCTTATTTACAATTTTAAGAAAATTGTATAACTAATATAAAATGTAAATATTTGTAAATTAACTAAAATTTTATTATCAAAATAAAAAAAATATATTTTTGTTTTAAAACCGTAGTATTCATAAATTATATATAATCAGGTTAATAATTAATATTCTTTTTAAAGTTATTTATGATTTTAAAATATTTTTTACACGTATTATAATGTGAGGAAATTTGAATTTTAAATATTATTCAGATTCTATGAAAAAATTATGAATGTACAAGGTAATAATATTAAATACACTGTCGTAAAAATACATAAATATCGAATTTTATCACTTCAAAATTCAATGTAGAAAAAAAACACCTGGATGAGAAGTCAGTTTAAGTTTTAATTCTAAATACTATAAATTAATGTTAGCAATTTAAAAATAAAATAATTAAAATAACATCCTAGGTCATCTAACAAAAAGAAGATAGTGATTTTTCTGCAAAAATATAATTTTTGATCTAAGTTTATTTTAGTTTTGTAAAAACCGGTAAATCGTTTGATTTGTGTTTAACTTCTGTAATGAAAATATAAACATTACATATACAGTGTGATAATTACATATTAAAGCTATAGATATAAAGAGTATTACAAAATAAAGCTGTAGTTATAATTTGCAACATGATTTTGAAAAAAGCTTAAAAAATCGATAGTATACATATATATATTATGTAACACGATTAAATAATTATTCATAATTAAATCGAAATCACTGAAAGTTTTCTTAAAAACATCGTATTTATTTTATATAATTATTATCATCAAGATTTCGATGTAAACCAATTATCTGGTGCAAACTTTTTTGCTTTCAGTATGCAACAATTAGGTAACGCGCATGCGTGCGTCGCGCCGTTGATATCTTTTCTAGCGCGCGTATAATGTACGTATACTTATTAAGTAAGCTGTGAATAATTTATTAACATAATTATGATGACGGATATCACGTTTAAATTTTATTCATAACTATAAAATGTATGAATTTAGTACCCATTTTACAGTTAAAAGTAAGTAGTAAGTAAATATATTTTTATATCACTTATTTACATTCTATTGAAATCTACTCTATTTACAGATAGTATGTATTAAGATAACTATCAAAATAATAATATAAATATTTTGTTATATCTGCTTTTCTATTTTGTTATATTTCCTTTCAAATTTTTATTAAAATTATTAGTTGAATAACGCAAATTAAACATCTTTTGTACTCTAAAATTTCATATAGCTTATATTATTTTTCCCTTACATTTTTCCTATCAAAATAAATTTTATTCATATTTATTGTAAAAAGAAATGCATTTTTTTATTATTATTATACAAAATATACATTTTTTATAATAAATAAAACTCACCGTAAGGGAGACGACGAAGCACAGATAAAAAAATCCTTTAATATTTTTTTTAACACAACGCGTCACAAGCACAGTTCGAAATTTAAAAATCGAGTATTTGATTTGTTCGAAAGGTAAGGCGCGTGTGGTCACGTTCCGTATGAAACGTCGACTGATCAACGAATCGTTCGAAATTTGTTCCTCGCGCATCGGTCACTAATCACTACTACAGGTCGCGATTCCTCTACTACCATCAATTCAATTTCTACAACTCCAACTTTCAACAAATCCATCGCCATCTTTATCTGAAAAGGCATTAATATATGCAACTAAACAAGGTAATGTACAGCAAATTTTCGTATGCTGAAACTTTTAATTAAAAACGACGATCATAAATCGTATCACGCATGGGACGTTAACGTATACATTGAACGACGTCAATGATTCAGGTAAATAAATATATAAACTGAATTTCTTTCTCATTTATCATTCAAAAATGTTCAAGCATATCTATCGTTATGTTTATTTTTTTATGTATATATTTTTTCCATTGAAAAGATCATTATGGAAATGAATATTTATTTAAGTGTAAATGATTATGATAACATTTTTTTTATATTTTGATTTTGATAAGACTCAAACCAAACAATACAAGCTGTTTTTAAATAATCGTAAAACTAAATAATTCTAAATATCGGAAAATACATTAAATATAATTTATTTTTATCATATGTATAATTTATTTAACAGATAAAAAAAATTGACTTCTCAGCCATCATTTTGGACGATTAAATGCTTTAATAAGCTTATTATAGTTTTTGGGAAATACGTGCTTTATCTATGTAGGAAATAATATTAGGCACAAAAAGTTAGATCCGTGTCTAAACTATACATTTCGTAATTATAAATTTTAGTAGTATAATTTTAAACTTTTAAGGACTTTGGTTAGATTATCTCGTAAAGGAAGCTATTAATTTAGGAATATTATTTTATTGGCCCCTTATTAAGAAGCAAATGCCAAGGATTCTGTTTTATAACTTTAGACAAATTTTAAAATATAACTAATTAGTATTATAAACTATTTAGTATTTACTTTATGCAATATCCTTTATGGAGTAACTTCAGAGTAAGAATGACTCAACTTTCCGTTTCCCATTTAAAAGCTTTTACACTATACATTTTGAATTACAATTCAAAACTTTGTATTTGAATTTTAGTAAATGTCATAAATTAAAAAAAAAACACTCCTAACTAGATTTTTTTATCAGTCCATCTAACTGAGAAATATACCTATTATAATGCATAAGTTTATACTCAAACACAATTGTGCACTTTATACTTACATTTTTATTGTTTATTCCAGTAGCATCACAATATAATACGACCGGGAAGAGATCAGACGCAGAAACTATGGTTTTAGGTACGTACCGTCTGAGACAAGTCTTATTACTTCCAAACTCAGGGTATTACTAAGAATCTCTTGTCATAAATCTTTAGCCCAACCCAGGACTCTAAACAGAACGTTATGAATCAACATAAGACCAACGAAGTAGCTATATTAATTGTATTATTCTGAATTTGATTATTCTACTAAAATAAATAAAAAAAAAAAATATGTTGGGACATTAAGACATAGCGCCATCTAGTTCCATAGTAAGCTACGAGGTTTGTGTTATGGATATCAGATAGTTGATACACTACACATATATAACTTTAAACACATACATATTATAAATATAAACTCCCATGACTACAGTACAAACATTCGTGCTCATCACACAAATGAATGCCCCCAGCGGGACTCGAACCCGCGACCGCTGGCACAGCAAGTAGGTTCACTACAAACTGAGCCAAACATGTCGTCAAAATAACTTTCACTTCAAAATTATCCTCTTGAGGATTGAAGTTTTATAACTCCTTCTTCACTCCATCTTTGTTTTCGTGTAGTAAAGAACTCTATTGCATTTTTTTTGTTTCTTAACCAAACGGCTACGCAGCAATGTGACCAGTGAGTAATATTTTTATTATGTAGTACTAATTCAATACCGATAAATAAAATTGAAGTGTCTGTTTTGTAATATCAAATTATATACGGTACTTATAAGAAAAACACATTTTTTAACATTTTTGTGTCTGTCTGTTTATTCCGGCTATTCTCCGAAACGGCTGGACTGATTTTGACGGGACTTTCGCTGACAGATAGCTGATGTTATGAGGAGTAACTAAGGCTACTTTAATTTTAGAAACATAATTAGGGTTCCGCTCAGAAAAGTTAAAACGTATCCAGGGACGAACCATTCGAAGCCAGGGAAAGTCGCTAGTTTTGAATAAGAATGCTATTAGTTAGAATGTTATATTTATTAACATTATTACTAGAATATATGAAATATTAGAACTTTTTTTAAATAATAAAAGTTTACGGATCTGCGAGTGCAGATACGCTGATGTAATCGCGACTATTACAAACTATAAATACGGTTCTTGATCTCATAATAGCGTGAAAGACGAAAATAGGTCAGTGTTGTTATGGTACTCAAATAAAAAAGCACAGAGGTATGTTGCGACATGAAACTAACCTTGCTTGTTAGTAATTTAGCAAATGGGTGTATTGTAGTATCAGGAAAATTGAGATAAATTGCTATTTTTTGAGCCTATAAAAAAATAAAAAGGTCAATTATTATTTCATCAAATAATTATTTACTAACACAAAAGTTACTGTTATGTTTCGCGCGTTTCGTACACTTTAGGTAGATAGAGTGTGTTGGATTAAAGTTATTTCTTTTATGAAGTACATATATCCGTTGCCCATTTTTTTTAAACCTAAAACCCCGTCTTCATGGGCAGCCGCAGGATCACTCAACCACGACGTCACTACGGCAGGTCTAAGCAGACATTCGGAACCGCAATCCAGCAATGACCGTTTAAAGTCTCTATATTTCACTATATCAACGTTAGGCGTGAAGATATAGTCTTAAAATCCTTAACAAGTTACTTTAATTTCATCTAAAGATTATAATATAATAATTTAGTAATAATTAATTTAATTAAAATATACGGATATAACGCTCTATTTCCGTTTTGCACTGTTGAACATAATTTTTCTGGTACATGAGCACTATAAAGTATGATAGTTAGTCATTATATTTTACTATGTTATAAAGCATAAATATAATATTTATTATAAGATTGCTATCATTTGGTTTCTGCGATTATAGGTTTAGGATATTAACCAAAATCTTCTTACTTCATTTTAATACCATAAGCTATATCTATTGATACATTTTTTTAAATAAAACCATATGTTTACAAAACCAAAGACTTAACCTTACTTCGTTTACTTATATATTAAATATTTATTTCGCGAAACCTATTATTCAAAAAGTATTTGAAGTGAAAACTTCTATAGGCAGGTTTGGATGGGGAGTAAATTTATGTAAGTCATCATCGACTGTCGTTAACACGTGACGTGTTAACGATAACACTCGGAGTGCCTGCCGATAGATGTCAAATGCCAGATAGGTAAATGTTAACAGTTTTAATTTACAAATTTTATTTGAAGATCAAACTATTTATTTGCATATCCAAAAATTATAAATTAATTTATAGTTTTAAGTTTTAACTTCTGTCGGCAGACCTCATGACTGTTTTTATTTAATATTATCTATATTTTAGTGAAGTTGGGAGGAAATACAAATATAAAATCATACAATAAATCTAAAATAACAAAACTAATCTTAAAATCTGTTCTATTTATTTGACACTACAGTGTTTTGCTTTCAAATGCGATAATCTAGGGGCGTAATGTATCCGGTAATACCGCGAATATCCGATGCTTGTGAACTTGCGCAATCGACACCAAACCAGTGCTAAATATAGAAATATTGAATTAGGTAATCATATGTGGTTTCTCGTTTGACTTATTTGGCGAAAATTATGATATTTCTTCGAAATTAGGCTTGTAAAGTATTATATATAGCAAAGTTTTCTACGCTTAATAAGGTTAGAGCAAATTTCTTTCAAAGTTGTTATAAATATTCTTTATATGAATACATTTTGAAACACAAAAATAATGTCTGGATAAGCATAAGATATAGCAAATAAATTATTATATATAATATATTTTATCGGTTTTTATTTTAAAACTACTTATTGAATATATGTATTAAATAAAAATAATCTATACTTTTATTCACAAGTCGGCTAACTCCATCCAGTCAATTTATCAAATATTATCAAAAATGTTAATATTTCAATTATACTTATCACGAATATTTAAGGATATTAATAATGATATTTCTTAACTAAAATGTCATGTTTTCCAAACTCATTATTGAAATAATAACGACTTTAGTAGACCTCTGAAAAGTGTACTGAAAGGGTGTTAGTCGACTTGCGAATTGAGGTATCGCCATTTCATTTTTAAACTTCATGAAACAGAAGGAGAACACCAGTTTATATAGGTATATATAAACATATCCTTCTGTTACTACATATAATAATATTATATATGTACATACATAGATATTTGACGATAGATACTTGCTGTGTCAGCGGTTGCGGGTTCGAGTCCCGCTGTGGGCATTCATTTGTGGGATGAGCTCAAATATTTGTACTCGAGTCATAGTGGGGTCATATTTATACTATTTACGTATTTAAATTTATATATGTGAAGTGTTTCAACTACCTGGTATCCATAACAAAGGTGTTGTAGCTTACCATGGAACTAGATGTTGCTGTGTGTTAATGTCCCAACATACGAGTACATACGAGTACATAGATATGTATTAGATATCAAAATAACATTTTCGAGCAGATAAACTATCACATTAATTTAAAAACGCTAATTTATATGATAAAACAGATAAGCATTTAATGAAATATTAGTTCAGTCTCAACAATTTTATTCTATTTATTTAGTATGCAAAGTATAAATAATTTTAAAGTGAATAACCTACTACATTCAAATTATAGGTGTGACATTCGTTATTATGTCTCCGAACCGTTATAACCATTAATAAATATTTTTCAATTTGCCTAGCGGTACCCAACGATAAATGTATAATCGAGAATTAATAATATGACAAGAATTTGTACTGTTATATTTTTCGTAATTAATATAAAAAAATACGAAAAAATATAATAAATAACAAAAAAAATTAATAGTTCGTAACTTATGAAAACTATATAAATGTATGTATTATGTACCAATT